ATACTTGGAATTCGGATGAATATCTTTATCTTCACACTGTATAACAGCAACTTTTTCACATTAATTTACAGTAACTTTCTAAATTCAGATATTCTCACATGGGACAAATACTTTTAATTAGTATCGTTGTATTGTTTATGAATTAAAATATTAAATTGATTTCATAAACTTCAAGAATTCCTTGGGAATTCTTAAGGAATTCCTTTAAAATTCCGTGATAATACATGTGATTGTCTATAGTAAGGAAATGTTAAAGGAATTTCAGAGGAAATTTTAGAATTTAGATAGTTGCAATCATGGGTGAGCACATATTTTGTGAAACTGTTTCACAATAAAATTGCATTTTAATTAATAAAGAAATGCAAGAATGTGAAAGAAACCAAATTATATACAGTGAAACTTTAAAATGGGAAAGAGATAGGGTGGTGAAATACGGTTAGTTTTCTAAAATATTGAAACATATGGTTATAAATATATGTTTATGGGACTAGCATTGCGCTATCTCGTGAAAAGGGAATATAGCGTTGAAATCAAACTATAAAAACCCATTCATATTGCAATTTTACAAGTAGACAAATTTTAAGCCTTCAGATAACTATAATTCTTTATATAGTACCTTGCTATTGTAGGGGTAACCCATAATATAAAGGCATGACTGTTAGTGTGCTTTAATTAATCCACAAGAAATAAGGGGCAAGGGATATTGGTAAACAAGTATTACCAATCAATCCTATTCCCTTTTAATTATAATGTCCACTGTGGTCAAAGCACCCTATAATAATTATTATTTACTCTCTAACAGCAGATGATCTTACTCACCAAGGGCAATTTTGTACCTTGATGAGTAATACGCATGCATACAAAATACTAAACTGTTTCATTACATATTTTATGTCTGAACCTTTGACATTGCAACAAAATAGGTTTGGGTGGGGTAAAAAATTTTCTGGCATTCCACCAGTGGGGTAGCTAGAAATTTTGTTTTGAAAAAGGTGGGGTAATGATTTTTTCCGGCTTCATTATACTTTCTCTTCGGCCCCCACCCCTGCCATAAATAATGACCGGTCCCTTACTGTGACAGCGATCTAGCACTTTTCCCAAGTCGAAGCCCAATTCACAACCAGAGACATCACCGCAGAACACACAAAATACGCCTATGTTGTTGGTTCACTTCAACCCGAAGTCGCTCAAGAAGTCCGCGACCTTCTCATCAACCCTCTTACAGAAGAACCCTACACCAAACTGAAAACCGAACTTGTCAAACGCACCTCCGCGTCTCAGCAAACACGATTAAACCAATTGCTTCACGCCGAAGAGTTAGGAGATCGAAAGCCAACGCAACTCTACCCACGTATGCAACAGTTGCTCAGTGATATCCAACTCGAGCCCTCCATAATGAAACAGCTAGTTGTTCCCCCAACGTCTCCCAAGCATTGCTCAATTAATTTTGGCCTCGACCGCAGACGAAATGGACACAGCGAGTTTGGCCAAGATGGCTGACAAGATCGCAGAGGTCGCTCCCGTGCATTCTATTCTTTCCACCGTTGTTTCCCAATCAGCACCACCACCCACAGCACAGACGCCTGAAATGCGTGAAGTTCGAGACCTTGTTGCTCAGCTGGCCATCACCATCAACAACTTCAGCCTCCACACTTCACCGCAACATGCTCGTACCGAAAGACGTCGCAGTCGGTCCCCTACCCGCCGTTCGTCCTCTCCATACCACGAGCGTGAGCGCACCTCTACCGAGTCAGGCCCCCGCTCCATCTTTTGTTGGTACCACTCCAAGTTCGGTGCCTCGGCTAAGAAGTGCTCGCCACCTTGTTCTTTTTCTCAGCAAACATCATCGATCACCGTCAAACTATCGCGCCAGACAATAGACGCGTTTCTCACCAAAGCCGCCTGTTTTACATTACGGACGTTTCAACAAAGCAACAATTTCTCATCGACACAGGCGCATAAGTCAGCGTCCTTCTACCACGACCATCAGACCGTACACATCGCCAAGCTTATGATATTCAGGCAGCCAATTCCTCAACAATTGCTACCTACGGTACCCGATCATTAACCATCAACCTCGGTCTTCGACTTATTGACGCAGTAACCCACCTTCGTGTTAACGGTATTGCTTTGCCAATAGCCGAATTCCAGCTCTTAGTCCTGTCTATGCTCCTTTACTTACAACTCTTTTCACGAAGCTCCTCGGCGAGTATCCGCACATTATCCGACCAACAACCAAGAAAACTGCTGTTAAACACAACATTGCCCACCACATCGTTACGCGAGGACCACCTTGCTCTTCTCGACCCCGGCGCCTTCCACCAGAACGACTCAAGATCGCTAAAAATGAGTTTCAACATATGTTGGACAAGGGAATTATCCGCCCCTCCAGTAGTTATTGGGCTTCTCCACTTCACATGGTTCCCAAATCTCAACCCGAGGACTGGCGTCCATGCGGGGACTACCGTGGTCCAAGAAGGCGCGAGAGGTTGGTCGGTGATTAATACTCAGCAGGAAACCCCTGCGCGTGAACATTATTGGTCCTTTCGAGCCGGATCGACAATTAGCAAGCAGAGACAATGTAAGTATTTCAGTCTACAAGATCGCACAAAACCAGGGAGTGATGGACCCTCCAAATACACATGACAAGGATTCCCAACATGATGAGAATGTACAAGCCGAAGAATGTACAACGCAGAAAATTCAATCCCCTTGTTAACGGGGAGTGGAGACCCAACGGAAGTAGCAGCCAAAGCAATCAAGAGATGCCGGTTTAGAAGACGGGCTCTAAGGTTTATGATTGGAAGATACTCTGATGCTACCAGGTAATTGATGGAATAAGGGGGTAGTAGAGCGACCATCAGGAAAAACCTGGGTGACATTCTGGAAACAATCAAAGAAATTGGACCCCTTCATACCCAACTCGAGGAACATATTCAGGATGATCAGGAACTACTATACTAGATGATATGATGACATTAGCCGACATAAAACTGGAAGTCAATACTATCACTGGTATGGTGCAAGAACATCTGGATGAGAGAGCATCAGGATCCAACAGTTGTAGCAAGTCGCAAAATAGTTCTCTGCGTGGCAGCTTGCCCTCTGTCATACAACAGGAAAACGGAGACTGCCGAGATGAGTTCGACAAGCAAGATGAGGAAAACCGACAGGCAGACGAACAGCGATCACAGCAAGCTGCCCAGCTATCGGAATTAACCCGACAGAAGAGAGCGAAAGCATCCCAACCAGAGGAACAAACCAATGAAGGCGAAAGGCAATCTCCAGTCACGAGCAATAAAAAAGACGCCCAAAGACCTACAACACCTGTTCTTTCTAAAGAAAGAGAGCTCCACCGTACTGTGAAAGCTGCCCTCTATGTAAAGCATCTCGATCAAATTAGAAAACTAAAACCAGATGTTGCATGCCGCCGCGATGATGATGATGATGATCATCATCATCAATCAATTTTATTTAAAATCAAAACACGCTAGCCTCGCACAACTAAAAGCTGATTTACAGGAGGGGCGTGATATATAAAACAGTAGAATATATGGAATATTATATGAAACCCCCAACCTCCCCCCAACAACAAACTGAGAAAAATAAAGTCAAGTAAAGTAAATAAAGAGAGTTAACTATAATTAAGTCAACATGGTTCTAAAAGGACAGTTCCGCAATACTACGCTTAAATTGACTGAGCGAATTGAAGTTGCTCTTTTTGCATCTAATGGAAGATTATTCCACAGCATCGATGCGCTATATTTAAAGCTTCTCTTCACAAAATTAGTTTTTGGTTTTGGAAGTGCTAGATCCGTTTCCTGATTTCGTAAATTATAGCGTCTGTTAAGTTCACTAAGTCTTACAAGGCTTTCTCTTAAACATGGCGAACAATTTGCATTAAGGATTTTATACATTAGGATACTCTTCAACTTAGTCCGCCTAACATGTAGATTATCCCATCCTAAACCTTCCAAAAAATCATTTGATCTAATCCTATCATCATATCTTGCTCCAGTGATAACCGTAGTCCCACGATTTTGCAATATTTGCAATTTATCTTTTAATATTTTATCGCATGAATCCAACAGGGGAGAGCAATAATCAAAATATGGTTGAATTAATGATTTGTATAATGTAACAAGAGAGTTTTGCGGAACGAATGGTTTAATTCTCCTCAATGCTCCTATGCCTGAACAGATCTTCTTGCATATTTCTTCAATATTGATGTCAAAAGTCAATCTGTCATCAAGATAAACTCCCAAACATTTATTCGAGACAACAGGTGAAATTACGTTATTGTTCATGATAATGCTGTTGTACAATTCACCAACTTTGTTGGTCAAATTTTGTCGGACTCACGATCAAAGCGAAGAACCTTACCCAGCAATTGTGTCTTCTGGGACTCGATTGGGATGATCTTATTCCACCTTCTCAGCTGAGTAAATGGAAGGACTGACTGTCAAAACTACCGGAGTTAGAAAAAATCAAAATACCATGTTTCATACAACCACGAAAAGCAGAGGTGAAAAGCTCCGAACTAACGAACTTCATACGTTCTGTGACGTTTTGGAGGAGGCTTTTTCCGCCGTAGTGTACCTGCGAAGCTTGTATGCGGATGGAAATGTGATGTGCTCTATGATAATGGCTAAGGCGAAAGTGGCCTCCAAGAAAGCGCTGAGTGTTGCTAGATTGAAATTGCAAGCCGCTCTTCAGGGTGCACAAGGCTTTAACCAGGCCTATAAATCGTCTCGTTTTCTGGAGCGACAGCAAATGCGTCATTGGCTGGGTGCGTTCCACTGCCGTATGGTACAAACCCTTCGTGGCCCACCGCATTGTTGAGATCCAAACCTTGACTGACTCGAAGTCCTGGTGCCATGTACCAGGTCGGTTGAACGTGGGTGACTACGCCACTCGATCAAGATTTGACGGTAAGACAAAGATTATCCCCGAAAGGTGGCTAACGGGACCAGCGTTTCTTGACCAGAGTGAAGATCACTGGCCCAAAGAAACTCCAATTGAAGAAACACATGAGCCAACAGAGATGACACCAAGCAAAGTGTTCGTCGCAAACTCGAAGAAAGACTCTACCGATCTTACAGCCAATATAATTAAAGCCTGTTTTCCACTAACGAATTTCTTCGCGCGAAGCGAATTTTCTATTGTTTAAATTGAAAAGAATCGATTAAAAATCTAATTAGTTCCAGCCGAGAGCTCATAATACAAAAGATTCGCGCAAACAAATTCGCTAGTGGAAAACAGGCTTAATGTTGACGGGGTGCTCAACCTTGTTGAAAGCCCAACGAGTGATGGCGCAAGTTCAACGCTTTGTCGACTTATGTAAAGGTACCAAGCTTGCTAGTGGAGTCAAGACGGTTGAAGAATTAAGAGTAGCAATGGTCGCTTTGGTACGTCAATGCCAACGGGAGACATTTTCCAATGAATTCGAATCACTGGAAAAGAGCAAATGTGTTGATCGACGTTCGAAACTGCTTTTATTCACGCCGTATTTAGATAAGAACAATGTAATTCGCGTTGGTGGTCGACTGGATCGAGCCAAATTACCCTATGAAGTACGACATCCGATTATCTTACCGCCGAAGCATCTTTAACTGAGTTGATTGTCGATTCTTACCATCGCCTTGAGAACCATGGAGGTGTCGATCATGTACTAGCTGCCATCCGCAATAATTTCTGGATAATTCATGGACGACATGAGGTGAAACAGTTCAAACGAAGATGCCAAAAGTGCAAGCGAGAAGGAGCCAAGGCGGGCCATCAGCTATTGAATGAACTGCCGACCGAAAAAATGACGCTTATGCAACCGGCGTTCTACCACGCCTCTGCAGACTACTTTGGCCCAATCACGGTTCGACTGACTCGCAACACTACAGCGAAGAGATACGGCGCTCTATTCACTTGTATGACCACTCGATGCGTCCATCTCGAAATTGCAGAATATTTATCAGCACCTGATTTCTACAATCCCTCCATAAAATGATGGCGAGACGCGGGCAGTCACGTTCCATCTACAGCGACAATGGTACAAAGGAGTGCGAGCTGAGGTCCATGGTGAAGAAATTGAATGAAAGTGAAGATCTTCAAAACCGCTTGACGAGGATTGGAGAAGGAATTTGTTGGAAGTTTCAACCCCCGGCGAGTCGTCACTGGGGAGGAGTTCATGAAAGTTTGGTAAAGTCCGTCAAAAGAGCCCTGTATCGTACAATAAATCCGAACGAGAAGACCAAGCGATCCAATCCGACTGATTTGCAATTGTCCGCCTTGTTTGCAGAAGTTGAAAGATTTGTCAATCCTAGACCAATTAGGTATGTAATCAGCGACCCGAAAGACATCGAAGCCCTGACATCGTACCATTTCTGGCTGAATTGACGTTCACCGGTCATTCCTTTCGGAGATTACAGTCGGCCGAATTTCCAAGATCGTTTTAGACAGACGCAACATCTCGCGAATCTTGTGTGGCAACAGTGGGTAAAACTATATCTACCGACCCTGTTGACTCGTAAGAAGTGGAAGACTGAAGAACGAAACTTATCGGTCAATGATGTAGTTATTGTTTTCGAACCTAATCTCAAGCGTGGTGAATGGAAGTTAGGAAGAATTCTCGAAGTTTTCCCAGAAAAGGATGGGCGTGTGAGAGCTGCAAAGATCAAGACGAGCCAAGGTGTTTGTACCAGACCGATCACGAAACTTTGTGCCTTGAAAAAAGCAAAAAAATGGATGATCGTCGTCTCAAACGGATCGAGACGGACGATGGGGAGGAGTGATGGACCGGCCTTTCACACCCGGAAATTTTTTAACTGAAGATTTGTGCCCGCCTGCCCGGAGAAAAGAGGGTTGTTCAATTTGACAAACTCGTGGTCGAGGAATTTTCAGGAACGCTGCTGTTTGTATGATAGTACGTTTCTTTTGTGATTACGTTGAGGAAAACTAATATAAGTAAGTATATTTGGGGACAAAAGCTTCAAGTACATTATTGTTGATCTGGAACGGTAAAAAACGTACTTATTTTGTAATATACAGCGACGTAATTGCATGCGAATTGTTATGTTTTATTTTCTTGTATTTATATCGCTAATTTTAGTTGTTTGGCTAAGTACTTTATTGCCTTGACTAAATGTGCTTTTAATTGGACCTTTCGAGTCATATGTAATGTGTTTGTAATGTAAAATTATCTATTTTTGTAGCGTTAATTATATATAAACCGTAGCTTGTGGAGTATCAGTGTGAAAGTACTTCATTTAAGCGTAATATACAGCCCCTGAGAAGGCACGCGAGGTTGGTCGGTGATTAATACTCAGTACGAAACCCCTGCGCATGAACAGCCATTTTAAGTTAGCTGTAAAAGTCCCAATTCCAAAAGATATCATCGATAATCATCGTGGAATTAGTTTAATGCCTGGTTTTAATCCGAATTCTAGCTGTGCCTGATTGTAAAATACACCGACTTCAGGGGCATACCAAACGGAGCAGAGTGCACCAACAACTGCATTTATGATAGACGAATCTATCAGGGACTGCTGTGAAAATAAGGATAGGGTTTACACATGTTTTGTTGATATCAGCAAAGCGTTCGATTGTATGTGGATAGACGCCATGCTGTACAAGTTATACCATCCTATGGGAATTGCTGGTAAAACGTGGCGTATTATAAAAAACTTGTTTACCAACATGAAAGAGGTTATTTGTGTAAATGGTTTGTATTCTCGTGAATACAATATATTACTAGAAAATAGATGCATGCAGACACCCTCGCCTTGCTGACAAAACCATTGTATTTTCCGAACATGAAGTATCTAAAGTAGTTGTCATGGTAACACGATAATTTTTTAAGAATATTCTTAGTTTCTTTCAAATTAAAAATCGCCTAAAAATATCACTTTTAATTACAAAATTATTAATTTCCCAACATACTATATGTTAGGTATGTTATTATACGTAACATAAGCCTCAATTTAAGGTAAAATTCAACCACAAACGCTTCGCAAAACGTTTTAAAGTCACTAGTGTTCTTTATCAAACTACTCTGCCTTTTAAAACGGCTTTATTGATAAACCTTGAGTTTGCAATAAAATGATTTCAAATTCGAGAATTTGCAAATAACTTTGCTTTCTTTTTCATTTAAAAAATTCAATATCATAAAAAAGGGAATCAATATTTTTAAAAAGATACACTGAAATTGTATGCTGTCTTGTTTAGCTGTTTCATATACGCAAAGGGGCTTCGGTGGCGAAGTGGTTAGCGCACTTGCCTTTCACCTCTAAGGTCGCAGGTTCGAATCTCAATGAGGACTTCTCATTGTGACTGGAACCCAGTCCTAATGTGAAAAGAGTAAGTCAGTGGGTTTTCTCCGGGTACTCCGTGTTTCCTCCCACAGGGAAAGTTGACAGGGTGGGTTAGGCACACAAGGTCTGGAGGCAGATCATTAATGAGGTATGGACTAATAGCGGCTGCTCAAGCGCCATTTGTAAGCTCAAAGTCTACCTCGGTCTGCTTCACGTCAGTCCGTTTGATCTATCTAATCATAATGTAAAACTTCTGCAATTCAGTGTATGCTGCCATTGAAGTTCAAATATACTATCTACTATACTATCTACTAAAGGCCGTCGGGTTTCAAAGCCATTATAAAATCAATATTTGAAACAAACTTACCTTCGTTAAGGTCGGCTCCCTTCTATTAGCCGATTCTTTCGCAGTTTCTTTCTGAGAGAGCTTTTGGAATTTACACAATCTTGCAAAAATGCGAGAAAAAGTGAAATATATTTGCAACAAATTTATCAATCATCAAATCAAGAGATGTTTGCTGTTTCGCTGTCGTCATGCAGTCGTTATAATGTAAACTTTAAATTGGACCAATCAGTGTCCGCTATTCATGACAGTCCGCCATATTTTTGAGATCAGTGAGGATGACCACTCCCCGAAACATCGTTGGTGAGCCACGCCCGCGATATTTGATAAACTTTAGACTTCGTTTCCCCGGGTGTAAATAGCCGGGGGGAATTAGTACCCTCGCACGTCATCACATCCCCCTGGTTATTCTTGGTCTACATCAATGATTTAATATCTGAGTTAGAAAACAGCAAGTGGGGAATTTTCCTGTATAATATCTATTACAGCTGACCAACTTTTGCCGATAACATTACTCTATTGTGCCGTCTTAAAACAGCGTTAGGTCATCTTTTGGATATTTTAAATACATTCAGTCGGTCTTGGAGAGTTACAGTCAACATTAAGAAAATGGTTACTATGGTATTTGGAGAGAAAGTGAGAAAAATTCCAACACCGGAAAGAATTAATAGGTAGTTAGTCAACCTATTAAAGAAGTACTAACGTGGAAAATTTTGGGTACCATATGGAACTCAAACAACAAGTTTGACTCAACATTTCATATCGTGCTGAAGAAAGGCTATGCAGTAATTGATATGATGGTTTGGCATGGCGGCCTGAACCCCAAGGTAGCAACTAAGCTATTGAGAAGTATTGCCCTTTCGCATCTGCTGTATGGTTGTGAAATGTGGTACTTAACTAGCTTTGAAACAGTTCTCTAAACTTGAGAAAATCCAAAATATATTTTGTTGGAAAGCACAATCGCTACTTCCAGGCATTTCAGGATCAGCAGCAAGAGGCCTAACGGGTCTTGGCAGAATAGAAACGGGCATCAGTAGGAGAAATCTATACTTTATGGGTCGTATCATTAACTTCAGCTCAACAGAAGCCTTCAGGAAATTATTTGTACGTCTGTTAATAAAATGGAAGTGGAGATGTGACGCTGTAGATGGATTTATTCTCGATCTCATTAGAATTTTGAATGACGTTCATGAAGGACTTTATAACCTCAAAGAGTTTTCCGACGAAAAAGCAATGGAAGAGGATTGTAAATAAAGCTGTGCAAAGAAAATAAGAGTTGGCTTGGTCTGAAAAACTAAACAAAAACCGGTTTTAAAGCTGTATATGCAAGCACATCAACATTTTTAATGTTTAAAAACATTAGTTTTTTATATCACATCTGTGATTTTGCGCCAATGAATTCAAATATCGTAGTCGATGTGATTTGTCTGCTTTGTGGCTCTCTTAAAATCGATGGTATCAGGATTGAGAACTATAACTGTTTGCATTCGTTTTATTGTTCCTTCTGTCAAAGGTGTGTGATCAATCCTGTACAGCATGCTCTTCTATATTGTATGAACACTGCAAACCAGACAGAGCATTGGTGCACGTGGACCACAGATGACTTATCTGGAAATATAATGGTACTTCTTAATTTCTTGGACGATGACCAATTTGTTCAGTTAATTACTGGTGGTAAGCCGGCGAACTTAGCTACAATCATGGATAGTCTGAACACCGACTTTTGGTTACGATGTGTTGAGTACGTTTCTTTTTGCATCCAAAATTCACTCTTTGAACCCTTTATGTGAGAGGTTTTCATTGACTGTAGTCGACATTGTGTAACTGATATGTAAATTAGCTTAAAGACAACTTTCTTATATTTCATCTATATAATTATAAATATTTAAATAGTTTGTAACTCTTCAGGAATGGAGGCAATAAAATATTTTACTCTGGTGCACGTCTGCTCACTCTGGTGCACGTCTCCTCACTCTGGTGCGCGTCTCCTCACTCTGGTGCGCGTCTTCGAACTCTGGTGTGCGTCTCCGAACTCTGGTGCGCGTCTCCTCACTCTGGTGCACGTCTCCTCACTCTGGTGTACGTCTCCTCACTCTGTGCACGTCTCCTCACTCTGGTGCACGTCTCTAAACAAAGGACGCTTAGATGGTCCCAGGTCCCTCGATTTCACACGTAATTTTGGTTTTTGAATTTGTTGTCTTTCTAAAGGTTGGAATTGCACTGTGTCATGTTCAGAGAGGCCAAAAGCCGGACCGGACGCAGTGGTGCCTAAATTACTTTGAATTTGTACTCGAGTAAAAGTAGAAGTAATTAACAAAAAAACGACTTGAGTAAGAGTAAAAAGTACTGGAGGCCAAACATACTTAAGTATAAGGGACTTATACTTAAGTAAAAAGTGCAAAGTATCCTAAAAAATACTTGAAGTAAAAGTAAAAATACTATTGTCTGTGGCGTGTCGGGGGGGGGGGGGACTTCTCCAGTGGATTGACACACAAAAAAACACAAAAAAACAGCACACGCATTATAGGCTAATTCAAGAAAGGTTATCCTTTGCAATCCTTAAATTCTAAACGTGCAAAGCATAATGGGAGCATCATTTAATCAGTTTAGAAATAATATTAGAGACTTGGAAAAATCTCCTTACGAAAATAATTCATTCACAATTAGCTGCGATATTCAACTACCAAGCATGAAACTTGTGGTCCCATTAAGCTATGCGCGCTTAGAGTTTAAGGGTTAGAGGGTAAGGCTTGCAAAGGACAACCTTTTTTGATTTACCTGTATACGTGCACCTAATGTACAATATTTCACGCCATTTTCTACTTTACAGGCCCCGCTGAAGTTATAGAAATTCATTAAATAAATAAATAATGGTTGTAAGTAAGCCACAAGCGAGAGATCCCAGACGTATGTAGGGGTCCTATTACCTAACCGAAAAGTAAAATAAACCAGGAGTAATATAAATTACGTGAATTAAGCAAAAGTTGAAAATAGGTACGCTAAGCGTACATGTATCTGCTCATGGTGATTGCATTTTTGTCAAGGAGTTCAAACAATACTCAGTATAGCTTGTATTAATATTAAGAAACTGATGTTTAAATGAATACATTTTTTCTATAAACATGACAAATATATATAGTTGACTAGTTAAAAGATCGAGATTAGATTTACAGTATGTCAGATGAAAAAAGAGCTGATATATATTCAACTTGCAGAAACTAATTCCAGCCATAACTTCGCAAAGATGATATTCAGTTTCATGATGTTCTTGTTGAATCTTTTCAGTTTTATTTTGTTCTTGTTGAAACATATCGGGTTGAACATCTTCTTGATAGTTCATAATAAACTTTTGCATCCAAGCGAGAACATTGTAGATACACAGATGTTGGCAATACACACTTGCACAGTTTTGAAAGCCTTTTATACCATAATTGATATGCGATAATCAAAGTATAGATGGCTCACAAATTAACCATATAATATCAAATAGGTCAAATATTGAAGGTCATTCATCAGTACGTAACAAATGATGACAAGTATGGAAATTAGAAGTATAAACCATGCATAATTAAAGTTCTTGAATAGAATATTACTCAGTTTACTAGATCCATGTGCAATAATATTTTGTCGTGGAAGAAAATTCAATAAACAGAACAGTAGGTTTCGTTTTGTACATTGTGGTTATTATCTATCAAAGTCTGGTTGTCTGTAATGAAAGTAGACACTGATTGTCTATAGTTAATACGATCATTGATAAAGAAATTATATAAAGGCCTTCTATTGGCTTTATTCAACTCTTTATATTATAAAAGTCATCAATGAAAATTTTAAATTAAGAGGTACATAACATTAATACTGACACTCGATATAGACCTACAGTATAATGATAACATGTGGAAGAATCATTAAACAATTTGCGCCTAAAATTGCGAATCATTACATTTGCACTACGTATTATCGGTATTAAATGATGAAACCCTTCAAATGCTTGCCAAAAATACTCTCTCAACCTTTGCCATGTTCAGACTAGTAAAATGTCTGCGTTTGATTTTTAATTTTAATTGTTTCACCCTTCAGTAAACCACCATTTTGAAATTTTTATAATTACGTCATTCTCATCTATACGCTGTCTCTGATTGGCTAGAAGTACGCTTACAAACTTCCGTTACGCGCACGATGGCAATATATCTGCATTCGCAGACACAAAAAGTAACGAAATACTTCGCCACAAAATGAGAATAACGAAGTAAAACGTTAAGTACTCGAGAAAAAATTTACTTTGTTACATGCTCACTTCTCAAAAATAGCACTCATGTACATTTGCTACGTTAAGTACATTTGTTACGTTACTTGACACCACTGGTCGGACGTTTGATTGGATCGTTCTAAAAATCCTTCATATTGGTGAATACTAATCTAGTCGATTTGGACCCCGTGTTGGAAATTTTACGATCTGACGGAGTTTAAAGCCATAAGTTATTCGAAATAGATTTTGCTAGATAGAGCCAGAGCTTGCACTCACGCATGCGCATAACGTCGAAAACCGTCCATAACATAAACGTTGGCTCGGGGATTGTTTTTATTAGAATCCAGTTTATGGCGAAATGTGGAATTTGTTCTTTTAGACAAGTGAATTATGAAACGGCTTTTTTTTCTTTGTGAAACGTAACTTATACCCTCCCCCCTCCTAACAGAAAAGGACGAAATATCAGCCGACGTGTTTGAGACTGGGGTGTCTCTAGTGTGAAGTCCGGTCTCCTCAATTTCAATAACAACGTTTTGATTGAGTCAATTTTAAATTCTTCATGAGTTCATGGAAACTATATGAGGAAGGTATTTTGGTATACAAAAAAACATTTTGATACGAAAACACTCACGATGAGCGCGGTTTGACGGTTGGACTCACTGGTGCCTAGTTTTCCTACAACACACGCAAAGCTTCACGTATAGCGTCATCACACCGCCATATTTTTCAATTTTTTTAAAAATTTATCTGGGGGAATTTATCTGCTCCTAATGTTAGCTTTTTTAAGCGTCGATGATGTCTTTTAGCGAAGATGAAACATCAGGGATGACTGAGTAATATCCAGATAAGAATATTGTTATGTTTTATATATAATAAGGCAAGTTTTGAAAGGAAATATTTACTATCTTCATTCGTAAATTTTGAGCGTGTGTTCCGGCTTAAAATTTGAGTTTGGCGCGACAATATTTGAACTAAACGTGATTAAAACGATTATATAAATACATTAGTTTTATACTCAAAGGCTTACATTTGACTCAAATGCAGCCTTTGAAGACAAACTATTAGACTGTTTAATTCTGTTACTTTGCGTTCGTTACACTTACAATGATATTTTTAAAGAATACAACCTTTGTAATTAACTATAACAACCAAATCCCTCTTAGTGTTATTCAAGTTCTTACTCCCTTGGTTCAGTGAAGGATTAAGACTTTAGTGTATTCTTTTGGTGTATTTTTAATTCTATATTTAATACGTCGATACTTGTAGTTGTATATATAATTTGCATATAGTGACGTATTAAATCCATTTTTTAAAAAGGAGCTCTTTGTCTCTTTAATACGTCCCATCTTATTTTGCTGCAGTGAAGGTTATTTTACACGAAATGATATTGAACGACGATTTTATTATTGATATGCAAATGTTAGAAGTTCATTTACATATCAAATCGTCGCTAAATATCGTTCTGTATAACAGCCTACAAGGAATTTCCGATAGCTGAAACGACCCTCTTGAATAGCTGAAACGACCTTTTGAATAGTTGGAACGACCCTTTTGAATAGCTGAAACCACCCTTATGAATAGCTAAAACGACGCTTTTGAGTGGCTGAAACAACCAACCGTCTAAAAAATTGTGTACAATAGTTCATCGATGGCAGAGAGCACTATGTGTGAGTTTCTTGCTCATCTTGCTCAACATTGGAACCGAAGGGGGGAAGGGGCGAAGAATAGATTAAATTGTTAATCATTCTGGATGTTTCATTAGTTTTTGCCAGGATTGTAGGATTATTTGCCCAATCAAAATCCAGAAAAAGAAGATACCCTGTATCCCTCTTTGCAGCGCGCTTAGAATTTAAGGTTTAAGATTTTCGAAGGACAACCTTTTTTTGAATTAGCTGCATATAATGTTATACTAGGTTATGTACACACGCATGCATTTCACAGAAATTATTTGTCCGATTTGAATTGATATTTTTCGCAGTGTTGGATGATTGCTTGATATTAAGTAAGAGTGCCAAAAGTCGATTTTAACCACTCGTAAAAGAAGGGCAATTGTGCCACGAGTTTACTGTGTATGGTACTATTTGGGTTCATTGTAAATTTCATGAAAACATAACTTGCATTGCGAATTGTCGCTAAACATTGCCCCCAGCTTGGGATATCGCATTTTCCGCGTTTGATGTCACCATGCATAAGAAAGCTCTATTATTATATAGAGAATAATATATGGGTGCGCGGAAATACCAGATTTATTTTGAGTGTTGAACATGATATCTCACGAGTGAGCGCAGCGAACGAGTGACAACACGAGAAATAAATCTGGTATTTCCAAGCATTCATGTATTTTTCTGTTTATTATATAAAGGACAGTCTTTGAAAAGCAAAATTTTTTACAGAAAAGCGATAATTGAAAAGCGATATTTTTCACATGTGAGATTATCGTGAATAATCTCACATGTGAGATTATCACTTTTATCAGTGCTCGAAATCTCTTTCAAAAACTCATTAATAATTCATGAAGCAATTATCCAATCTTGAGTAAGAAATTAGTCACGTGCATACGTCTTTATACCAGCTAAAGAACACTTTAACAAAAGACCATTGTTATGCAAACTATATAAAGGTTTTTATATAAAGATTTTTATATAAAGATTTTTATATAAAGATTTTTATATAAAGATTTTTATATAACGATTTTTATATAAAGATTTTTATATAAAGATTTTTATATAAAGATTTTTAAATAAAGATTTGACCTATTATGCATACGTTTTTGAAGTCATTTAAAAAACTCGCGGGTCGTGTTTTATTAGGTCTAAAGCCACTCGCACTGCGCGCTCGTGGCTTTAAACCTAATGAAACACTCCTGCTCGTTTTTTAAATAGTACATAAAGCACTATACTTTATATAATAAAGGTTAGTAATACACAGGTCTATATATTTATATATGACCTACACACACTGTAAATTCAGAAGAGAAGTTTTGACCCCTAGGGTTCATTTCCGTCCCTTTGGAACGAGAGTAGTTTCTACTCCTCGAAAGGGTCGTTTCAACTCCAAGGATAGTTTTGACTCCATGGAAGGGTCAAAATAACTCTTCGCGGGAATCTTGCGACTCCACGTGAGAGTAACATTACTCTTCGAAGGAGCCAATTTGACCCGTCTCGGACAAGGAGACAAGACAATATATACACGAGAAAAGACAATATGTAGAATGTTGGCAGTTCTTTGAAGATATTCCTTCTTCAACCATTTTATTTAATAAAGACTATACCAATTATTACTATAACTGTATAAACAACAGAACAAGACGCGTTTGAGACTAAGGTGTCTCTAGTCGGTCTCTAGTCACTCTAGTGTGAAATCCGATCTCCTCAATTTCGATACCAACGTTTTAATTGAGTTAATTTTAAATTCTCCAGGAGTTCATTATAGTCATATAGTGTTTGCGGAGGTATGGCGATTGACGAAAAGTCTCACAATGACCGCGGTTTGGCGGTTTGACAGACTGGTGCCTAGATTTCCTACAACACGCGCAAAACTTCCTGGGATACCATCATCACACTGACACCGCCATATTTTATGAAATTTTTATTTTCATTTTTATCGCCTACAAACATTCGCATTTTAAGCGAAGTTAATACATTTCAAAGAGTATGAAACATAATAGAATACCCGTCCACTTTTGAAGACCCGCTAGAAATATCGGTGGCTACGTGGCTACGCAGTGGGTACGAGAACGAGGCAATGAAGTGATTACGTAATTACTAAAGCGCAACTGCTACGCAGTGAGTTTTTCAAAGAACGAGACATTGGTATGATGACGTAATTATTAAAGTATAGTACTGTAGTTATATTTTTTAGTGGCTACGTGGCTACGCGGCAACGCGGCTACGCAGTGAGTTTTTCAAAGAACAAGACATTGGTATAATGACGTAATTATTAAAGTATACTGTAGGTATATTTTTAGTGGCTTCGCGGCTACGCAGTAAGTTTTTATAAAAGAACGAGACATTGATATAATGACGTAATTACTAAAGTATAATACTGTAGGTATATTTTTTAGTGGCTACGCGGCTACGCACGACCTCGTCCCCAGGGCCTATTGAGGAAGGAGGCGAAGCAGCAAAGGCCCTGGTAAAGGCTGGTCACGTGATGCTTCAAATTTTGAATATTTCAGAATATTTAACTTTTCAAACCGGGGGTGCGGGCCGCTTTGGTTTTATCAAACATGGCCGTGCAAAGGGGCGATAGAAGCTTTTGCGACTGAAACTATGATGATAAACTTTTCAACTGACAGTGGAAATAAATATATAGTCTGCGATGTTCTTCAAAAAAATATGGAATATAATCAACAGCAATACTTGTCGAAGATCAAGATTCAAAGAGAAGGGTCTAAACACTGACTGGCAACAGTAAATATTTCTTTTCAGCTTGGAAGCGTGTTTTATAATATTTGTCGTTTGGGAGTCAATAACATACTGTCAGTGAAGAATTTGATTTGGGACTTTGATGTACCTTTATGAAAAGATTTACTACTGAATACAAATGTGCATGTAAAATGTGATTAGAACGTTTTAATATGAACAGTTGCACTGCCATTGACTCAATATATTTTAATGTGGGACAAACATTAAAAAAACATTAAAGTACATTAAAGGGCTTTTAGCTAGGTTTTCCACTTTTTTGATACAACTATAGAATACCCGCAACTTTCACATCTTACCGCTATTAATTCCTTGTAAACATTGTCAATTTACTCAAAATTGATCTAATATGATTGCCTCATTCTTCAAAACCCCCCAGTCAAATTTGAACCAAACTAACATACTCATATGATTTAATCTCTAAACTTTACCCTTAAACTATTTTGAAGGAATTCTTGTACATATTTATGTGTCAATGAATGTGGAAAAATGGCGAGGTATTCTATAAGCATTCCGGCATGTGTGTTTTTGAACCTTCACTGTTGAGAGAGTATGCCATGGGTTTCCCCAAATTATCTGAGCACTTCAACCAGACCAACAGCTGCCAAATGGCAACTACTATGCTCAGATGTGTAACTTAACACTTGCCCGGGGCAAGTGAATATCATGATGGGCAAGTAAAAGTTCCCTCTTGGTTGCCCGAACGGGAAAGTTGCTTTGCCACAAAAAGCTGGCCAGCTTTCAGTTCATATTATTATTGTCGGATAGAATAAAGGCTGTTCGACGACATTGGTTCAAGCTAGCAAATCATCTGCATCAAATTCATCTAAATTGTTTGATTATATTATGCATTGATTCTCTTTTTGGTTATTAAATGTTTATTCATGATATGATAACGAAATATGGCAGGACTTAATTTATGGCAGGACTTAATTTGGGACTTTATTAGTCCTGTTGTCTGTGCCTTCAATTTCTTATTGTAAAACTAATAAAAAAAATAAATAACTAATGGTGATTAGTGTTACATTAAATAAGTGTACTTGATTCTAATTTTGTTTAATATGTGAGCCAAAGCTAGATATGAGGTAGTCTAGATCTGAGGCAGTAACATAGCCAATGCCACTAGTCCAATGAGTGATTACGTTGCCTCCCTAATTTATACTGGCCCGCGTAGGTACCCCATTGCCTGATGGCAAGTGGATTTTATTCAGGGCAACCAATTTTCATGTCCAACTTGCCCTGAGGGCAAGTGGTCAAAAAAGTTAAGTTACACGTACCACTGATGCTGTATACAAATTATATACCTGAAAGGTAACTTACATCATATTGTGTCATTTAAATACTAATACTTGTATTCTCACAGTGTATTAAGATATACAAATGCACTTGTGATGCCCAACGAATTGCCACAAAAACCCCCATAAACCACAAATCAGTCAATTTCAGTAAGTAGGGCACACTGGGGCACATATTGCAGGCTCAATGGGTTAACTAGAGATATTGTCAGATTTTGGTTAATAACCATAATTGCAAGAGGTCAGTACAGTCTGTAACAATAAGTAATTCAAGAATTCACACAATTCTCAATAGTTAAATGATTATCGGATTTCATGTTAAATGATTATCGGATTGAGCATCAAGAATATATATATCCTTCATACATCTATAATAATATTCAAGCTAAATATCATGGTTATTATTTTATGTACAGTACTATAGTTGTATCAGGTATAAAGATACAAGGTGAAGCCAAGTATCTTTAGGTCTGATAAAGCATACACTGCAAATGTTTTAAATTGCTCAACTGATTGTCACCAACAACAAATAGTACTTTATTACAAGGCAGCAAAATATATTTAAATTAAAAGAGATGAATAATCTTGTCACTTGATATATTTGACACCAGGCCGGTGACTTGTATTTGTCCATAAGAGACCCCTTGTTATTGTATCATGTTTTGAGAATGAGTTCAATTTTGATATTTGTTGTTGATCTGAGCAAAATATTGATTATTGATTTGCCTACTGAGGCACACAGTATTGAACAGTCAATTGTAGTGAGTGATGCTGAACTGCCTGTTGTATGTTGTGAGTGATTTTTAGCGCGTGTTGTGATGAGTGACACTGAATTGCCCCAATTGTGGCTCAGGAAAAAATGTACCTGCTGACTTGTCAAATAATCTCCTTAAATAATGTTCTGGGAAGTAATTTGTGTAAATGATTACAAACAAAAACAAGGGCTTGTTAACAGTATAATGAGGAAATTAATTCCATCTCATTATATTATTCAGCCTTGATAAAGCATATGGAGGCCTTCTGTCTGATTTGACCCTCATGCATGTAATTGTTTGGGAATGCCTGACCATTAAGATCACAACATTTGTTTTGAAGCTTGGCTTTTGAAATCTAAACCCAAAGCACTATATGTGTGTTCACAATGTTCTTGGATTAAGAATGAAAATCAAATAAATATTTCAACTCAATTAAATTCAGGAAATGTTAATTTAACCACGGAGGTCAACCAGGTTATACTCGGGGCATATGGCTAACATAAGCATTTAAATTCCAAGTGCATACGATGTTGACATTCCTTGTTTTTCAGACATTCTTTGGGTCTAGTACTGACATACTGTATGATATTGACATTTGCAAGAAAGATCTACTGTAGCAACAATTCATGGAGTCCATATTATTAAATTAAAGTGATTTTACATATCTGTTTCACAATCGAGGCAGCAATTTCCTTGCGACAGTATTAAATTCATAGTATAAATGCTTCTATCGATCCATTCGTTTTGCACTGTTGCTTTGTCTATTTAATAGATCTCCTTTACAGTTCAACCAAGGTTCTCAGAGCTAATTTGAAGACAATTTCAAATTTATTCAATATTTTTGGAAGAACTTTAACAGATTTTTTCATTTTAAAATAGATTTTTGTTCTTTATTTGTCGATTTCGGTGTTTATGCAATATTGACGAATATATTGTAGCTAAAGCGATCCGCGATCGCACCCCCCTGTATACTATTTGCTCCGATATATCACGTGACAAAATAATCCACAATTTGTGGATTATTTCACCAGCCTTTACCAGGGCCTTTGCTGCCCTTCGCCTCCTTCCTTAAAAGGCCCTGGGGACGAGGTTGGGCTACGCAGTGAGTTTTTATAAAAGAACGAGACCTTGATATAATGACGTAATTACTAAAGTATAATACTGTAGGTATATTTTTTAGTGGCTACGCAGTGAGTTTTTATCGTAAAATAACGAGACATTAATATAATGACGTAATTACTAAAGTATAATACTGTAGGTATATTTTTTAGTGGCTACGCGGCTACGCAGTGACTTTTTATAAAAGAACGAGACATTAATATAATGACGTAATTACTAAAGTATAATACTGTAGGTATATATTTTAGTGGCTACGTGGCTACGCGGCTACGCAGTGAGTTTTTATAAAAGAACGAGACATTGATATAATGACGTAATTACTAAAGTATAATACTGTAGGTATAATCTTGGAAAGGTCAGTTCTGTATAAGTCAGAAAAAGTCAGTTGTGTGCACAATCAACAGTAAATAATAATGAAGGCCAGGGGCCAGGTAAAAAAGGAAATTGCAAAAACATCGCGAAAAGAGAGAGACATGCACTATAAAAGCGGATAATCTGAAACATTTTTTATTATATTATTTGATAAATGCGTTTTACCTTTTTCCAATCATTGTATAAATATGGATATACTTGCACAGAGAAATTCTGAAAATGGTTCTCCAACATGTATTTGTTTATATTAATGCCTTATGCTCTTCCCCTGACTAGTGAAACATACAACATTCAAACAAGACAACAATAAAGAGTGAAATTTATTTGCTAGTGTTTCTTGACCTATTTTAAGTAATATAAATATATAGACCTGCACCGTAAATTCAAAAGAGTAATTTTGACCCCTTCAAAGGAGTAGTTTTTTTACCCCAGGACTACCCTTCCAGAAGGGTCGTTTCAGTCCCTTCGGCAGATTCTACCCTTTTCAGAGGGTAGTTTTAACTCCTCAAAGGGTAGGAACGTTACCCTTCGAAAGGGTCGTTTCAGCTATTCGAAAGGGTCGTTTCAGCTATTCAAAAGGGTCGTTTTAGCTATTCGAAAGGGTCGTTTCAGCTATTCGAAAGGGTCGTTTCAGCTGTTCAAAAGGGTCGTTTCAGCTATTCAAAAGGGTGGTTTCAGCTATTCAAATGGGTCGTTTCAGCTATTCAAAAGGGTCGTTTCAGCAATTCAAAAGGATCGTTTCAGCTATTCAAAAAGTATAAAAAACATCATCACGATATTTAGGGACGATATGATATGCAAATGATTTCTAACATTCACAAATCAATAAATCGTCGTTCAATATCGTTTTGTGAACCTTAGCCTTCAGTGCAGAAAATAAGATGGGACATAATTAAACAGACAAATCTCTCCTTTTAAAAAATGGATTTAATACGCCACTAAATGCTAATTATATACAAGCATAGGCGTAAAGAGAATGCATTAAAGTCTTAATCCTACACTGACCCAACAGAGTAAAAACTTGAGTAACACTAAGAGGGATTTAGTTATTAGAGTTCATTGCAAACTTAAGGTTGATTTCTCTCTTTCTCTAAACATATCATTGCACTTCTCTGGACTTTATATAAATCCAAATTGTACGTGTATTGGACGAAAAGTAACAGATTTAGACTGTCTAAAAGTTTGAATTCATGTAAAGTGTCACACAGCACTATGCCTTTCCCAACAACATACATATAATCAAAGTATCAAACACAGAGGTACTACACAAAAGGATTGCAGGTGAGACTGTCGCTTTAATATGGCGGTTCACATCATTAGTTCCCTACAAAATATATTGCATTTATTAATCAGTGCATAGTATTCACAATTATAAATATTAATCTGACACCATTCTTACTAGCTGTCAAGAACAGTTAATTACACTACTCAACTTTCAAGGAAATACCTCTCTCTTGTTGATATCATGACGTAATTGTAATGAAGCTATTTTCTTAGTGGTTATACGTGGCTACGCGGCTAGCCACGTAGCCACTAAAAAATATACC